CTGCAATTGAGGTTAGAGGAGGGTTGAAGAATACTAATAATAAATTTCATGCACGGATTCATTGCCACCCTTCAGTAGAATGAAATGGGAAGTGTGAAGTTATTGAAAATGAAAAATGTTTGTGTAGTAATGAAAGGTGGACGAAAAAATTTTTGTTGTTGAGGGATATACTACTGCAACCACACCCTTTTATACTCCGCAGGACCCTCACGATGTGGTAAAATATCACTGGACAACGCATTCCAGGCCAAACAATTTTGTCGTGGCAGTGGAAGCTGTAGAGTTCGATGCATGCCATTGAATTGTGTCAAATCTGTTCACACAATAAAACAAATTATGCACCTGGCTCATGAAATGACCTATACACCAATATCAAGGGTCATGTGGATAAACAGTTACACATCAGTGACGTGTACGTTTCACTATGTACGGATTGCGTTACAACCGGTTAGATGTATGTTACAATTTATTATAACTAATGAATTTGCAATCAGCAGCTTTTCGTCTGCTCTATTTAAAACTGAATAATATTCGAACTAGATATTCCCCGAATTACAACTAGTGATAATACAACTAGTTAATATTCGATGAACCTTTCCTCTTCTCTTGTTTGTGCTATTACCCGTGGCAGAAACGATAATTCCTCCCACTGACACATTAAATTTCTTAGACACTTTATTAAGTATGTATTGAGAAAGTTATGATGATCGTTTCGAACCCCAAAACATTGCGTAGCGAGACTTTCTCGAACATCTCATTAAAATAGTGAGATCTTCACGAACGCATATGAGGGCAACTAGTACATCACGGGAGAAGAGACTGTAGACCCACATGCAGTGCCTGAACCATGTCGGATAAGTTTTGTTACGTTTCCAGGCCAGATTTGTTGTACCGACAGTGAATATACGTGTTACGTGCTGTTGCCAATCGTTTACAGACTTCAACACATGGCCTTGCAGCTTTTATCATGTTTTGGTCCTGTCCACCAACTTTTAAGAGTCACGTGGATACAGAGTTACACCTTAGATTCATGTACATTTCAATGTGTGCATGCACAGTTACACTGTCACAGGGAGGTATGACAGCCCAAATTATGCAACAGTTTCTTGGCCAAGAGTCAGATGTGTAACAGTCTATGACCTTGGTCAGTGTATGACCCAAATTTACTACCTCTATGAGCGGTTCGTACCTCCTTCTGCTCCAATGCTCTATAGGAGATTTCAAATTCGACCCCAAATTTTATGTATGTTGTAACTCAGAACGAACAAAGAGGTAAATAATAACTCACGAATTGTAACAATATATGAACAGTTTGTCAATCGTATGGACAAAATTTGTTGAACTATATTTTTAGTATCGATACATAAAATAATAAGTGTTACATCGTGTCACTAATCAGCATCAAAAAATAACATACCAATTGGGCAATTTTTATCATGGTAAGACCTGTATTGCAACATTAAGGGTACCGATGTGAATATTGAATTACACATTAGTGACCTTAATTTCGACACTGTGCATACACAGTAGTATGCAAAATATTGTGCACAAAATCTCACAATGAATGTCAGTTTTTTGGCCCAGAGTCAGATGTGTAAAACTGAATGGCCTTGGTCATTCAATGACCCACAATGTGATAGTACCTGAATAAGCACCTCCTTCTGATCCTGATACTTTATTAAAGATTTTCAATTTTACAACTAATTCACTGAATGTTGTAACTTAGGACGAACAAAGATGTAAGTAAGAACGTACGAATTGTAACAATTTACAATTAAGGTAACCATTTGTGCATCATTATACAATTAATAGTTTCAATTAGTTGGAGTCATTAACACAAAACAATTGAACAACACAGGTGATTTCAGATAAAAGAGCAATCATATAACTCCACAAAAAACTAATAGTGTGACTTCACCAGTTTCATACAACTATACGACTGCATCTACTGTTTACTCTATCTTCTAGATCACCTGCCAAAATGGAAAGTCAACAGTACAAGGATGTCAGTGTAACTTTGCCTATGAAGGATACATCTCCGACAAACTACAGGCGAAATTTATATCATATGAGGCGAAAAATTGAAAGTGCTGTCAGCGAAAAATTGCTATTAGGAGCAACAGAAAGGCGACCGCTACCGATATCATCATGAAGGTTTTCATTTGTCGAATATCTTGTTCGATTCGATGCACATGATACGGGAAAGAGTTTGGTTCATTTTGCACTGTTCCGGGACTGTCGAAGGAGCTTTCTCTACTTATTGCTTGTCGATTCGGTGAGGGAGGGCAGTAGTTAGCCTGAACTTGCTCATGATTCCTCCCTATTGGATGACACCAAGCAAAAAAAGCACAGGTTTTTCCTTCACAATAGAAGTACAGCAACCCCTTCGTTGGTTTCTGTGACTCCACGATCTTCAGCCCAGCCCTTTTTCCGCAGTGGCAGTACCGATATTGGTACCTTAACTCAGTAGATCCGCCACCAAAATTGCTCGATGAAGACATTTGAACGATCTAAAACTCCTTTTGGGTCACATAAGCTTTAGTGTTTTAACCTTCTGTTGAATTCATGGTTGTGTGTCGATCATGAGCTAACACGGACCAACACATAGGTGGGAGTTAATATGTGGCAAGAAACGATATAAGCTAGTAACTAAATTCTGGAGAATTAGTAAGTATAGAATAAGTAACATGTTTTTTGAAAACATACACAAAACCCAAAACATGTAATTGACTGTTACAATTGGGTTTACGTATCACTAATCCAATAAATAAATTGATAATCAAACTTTTTGAATAAATGTAATAAACTACTGACCCGATTTGACACATGCATGCGATCTTCGAGTGTCTTCAAATAAACTATTTTATTTTCATGCCATTCGTCATTTGTCACAATAACTATTTTGTAACAACCTATAAGCACACTGTAGCATGCAATCATCAAACATGGAGTTCTGTATTAATTTTCACACTCTAACTTCCCATTGAAACATTTTGTAATAGTCTTTAATAACATTCAACTTCCCAATAACTATTTTGTAACATTCTACAAATACTTCGTAACTAACAATTTTCAAATATGGACTTTTGTAAAAATTTTCAAACTATCCCCTTGCGACTAAGTTTTTTGTAACGGTTTTCGAACATACTGTAACTTCCCAATAACTATTTTGTAATAATTTACAAACACTTCGTAACCAACAGACTTCAAATATGGACTTTTGTATTAATTTTCAAACTGCGCCATTCCAACTAACTATTTTGTAATAGTTAGCGAGTACACTGTAACTTTTAAAAAACTATTTTGTAACAACCTACAAACACTTTGTAATTAACAGTTAAATGTATATGGAGTTTTATATTAATTTTCAATCTGCAACTTCCCAACTAACTATTCTGTAACATTCTACGAACACACTATAACTTTTCCAAAACTATTTTGTAACAACGTACAAACACATCATAACTAACAATTTTCAAATATGAAGTTTTGTATTAATTTTCAAACTGTAACTTCCCAAATAACTATTTTGTTACAGTCATACAAAATACTGTAACTTCCCAATAATTCTTGACTAACAACCTACAAACACTTTGTAACTACCAGCAGTTATATATGAAGTTTTGTATTAATTTTCAAACTGTAACTTGTCAATAACTAATTTTGCAACAAACTAATTGGGCGCTTGTTCTATAGTTACACATTGTTCAATGTAGGTTCTAGTATAGTTGGCACAGAGTCACGACGAGCATCTTTGAACCATAGATTCACGACACAATTGAACCAATTAATGCTCCGTTAATGTTATTACTGACATTATTCTAGTGTCAATAGAAAATCTGAATTAAATTCAGAATTTATGGCCACAAACTCTTTGTAAATAAACAGCACCATGATACAAATTGCTAATCTTGTTTGATGCTAATGTCTCCAGAAAAACAAAACTACTGTCTCAAAAGAAAGGTCCTTCTGAGTAGACTCCATAATAAAATTAGTTACAGCAATCCAAAAGCTGTAATACACATGTAATAATATACAAAAGCACGTCAAATGCAATTTTGTGAATTTCCTTCGCTCCCAGTCATGAATACTTATAAATCAGGCATTACCAACATTCAACTGCGCCCGTTTAGGTACTTGCAGGTTTGCGAAACTGTCCGGAAACTTTGAGTTCTCCGCTGAGTTACACAATCGAGCTGTGTACAGCACTCGATACTTGCCAACATTTTCCTATCAGCACAAGAGGTAGGAATTAGCATAGTTGAGTGCCGAGGTAACAAGCATTAATTGAATTTCAGATGGATTGTAGGGAGAAAAGGGATATCAATTGTAATACCTCTGTAAGCCGAACAGCCAACCTTCCGCTCCAATGCTCTAGGAATGTCATAACGAAAACACCACTGTCACACCTGATCACGTTGTCTTCTCATTAGTCAGTTATGATATATATGTTGGACAAAAAACTTAGTACACGCTCTAACAATAATTACGGGAGAAGTCAAACTATTTACACTTTGTTGGGTGAGTGATGAGGGACATCGGCAACAGAAAATCCGAAACTGGAGAAGTCAATTTCCTTGCCAAACTTTGCCGCCACGACCAAACCCAGTGAACGTTTCTATATCACCAAAGATTATGTAAAACTGATTACAATCCACTAATGTGTCACTGTCATGTCGTGTAATGCATTTACCAATTTGTCCAACATACCAGTCGATTCAGTACACTAATATCTTTGCTCTTTGCTTGACTGCTATCAGGGTCTAGCACGTGCACTTCTTTCTCTGAGACGCCAAAGCTGTAGACAAACCAAGACCCCTCTATGCATACTGGCACAAGTATCTGCGCCCAATGAGGTATGAAAAAGGTCAGACAGGTCAATCTACATAACCAAGTATGACTATGTTTTGAATGTTTAACAGTCACATAAGAAGTTTTGGATTAAAACTGATAATTGCATACCCAATCACAATTTGCAGGATCAACCCCCGTATTGTTATTGCGAACCTTGAAGAGCTTTAGAAGCTTAGCAATAAGCTGGCATCAGAGAGCTTGTCGAATTTTCCCATTTTTAAAATTCCTTCCTGCAACCAATAACATAGCCGAGTGAAAGGTGCATAGAAGACATTAATAATAGTGCGTTGGATCGTAATACCAATTCAGATATGATGATGAGCATCTTTAACACAACTGTAGGATGCAGTCAAAATTTCAAACTCACGACTGCAACAGGTTCTACGATGTAGCGTTCAAGCTTCCTAATTTTGGCAGTTCTTCCACCCCAATTCATGAGACGGGCAAACATATCAATCACCTAATCAATGGCAAATAGTGATCAAAACATATAATTGAGTGTTGTTTGGGTGAGTTTACGTATGACTATTCCAATCAATAGATACATAATCAAACTTTTTGACTAAAAGTAATGAACTACTGACCCGATTAGACACATGCATGCCATTTTCCATTGTCTTCAAGTCAAGCCGAGTCAGCGAAAATTGATACATTTGAACAAGTATGTCCCTATCACATCCAGGACACAATTAAATGATTTACTAATAATTATTACTCCTACTCCAAAACACGAAAATCTGACTAATGTATATGAACTCCAATCTCATCCATATTCAATCTGTTTTTCTATGCCATCTTCTTATGAACCACACGCGTACTTATTGTAGTGAACGGATGACAAAATCGAATTAATAGTTTTGTCAAGAATCTTACTTGGGATTTTGGTCCGGATCCCATGCATATGCAGCCAAATTTTTTTCGTATAGGCTAACTGTCACAGGTGCTGGTAGAATGAACTCTGCTGACCGCAGAACAGTGCTCTTCTTTGTTGCACGTGTAGACTTGTGCTTCACCTCAACGTCAAGGCCTCCTACAAAAGACAAATAACATGCATTTCATATGACATTCATTTGTTGTCGTCTAACAAATTATAAGGATTTTGCTTCATTCTTCAGACACAATGCAATTAGCAATCATCAAACACCAATCGATTATTTTTCGAATGCAATGTAACTGTCCTAAGAACTATTTGTACAACTCTTCAGACACACTGTAACTAACACTTTTCAAACAGTTGTGATAAATTTTCAAACACACTAACTTCTCAATAACTAATTTGTAACAGACTTCAATCACACCATAACAGTATGCTAAACTAACAGTTTCTACGAGTTTTCAAATGCACTTTGACCAATAAATAAGTGAGTATCAACCTACAAACACACATTTAAATAGCAATCATTTAATATGGAGTTATGTTTGAATTTTGGAAACTGTAACTTATCTATTAATTATAATCACTAACAGTCTCCAATAACATTCAACTTTCGTTTAAATAATCACTCATGTAACAAGTTACAAACACTTCGTAACTAAAATTCTTCAATTACATCACCTGCATTAATTATGAAATAGCTTTCCGGTAACTATTGTACAATAATGTAAAATAAATTCCGCGACTAACGATCTGCGAATATGGAGTTGTGTATTCATTAGAGCAAACTGTAACTTTCAGGTTACTATTTCGTGACAAACGTCAAGCACACTGTAAACATTCTTCAAACATACTAATTTTTAATCTATAAGTTTCCACATTTTTTGGTAACAATTTTTAAACACACTGTAACTTTTCAATAACTATTTTGTAACATTTTTTCACTGCAATGTAACTAACATTTTTCGAAACACACTAACTTCTTAACATGAATAAAGTCATACTTTCATAATATGCCTAATTACATTTGTTACATCAACTTCATATGTGTTTCATATCGGACAGGGTATGACAGTATGCTTAACAAGTTTTCGATGATGACAAGCCAGAGTTCAGACCCGTGTACGTAGCATCATGATGGTATAAACACAGTTACCGTATATGATAATACATGTTACAGTCATACTACATGAATTACAACCTTATGAATAATAACAGTATACCAACCTTTCCGCTTTCGACCATATGATCGCAACTTTCGTGGCATTTCTTGCTCAAGCAGATGTGACGTCGATGCACTGGCGTGCAAAGGTGGTTGCACCGTACGTTGACCCTCTTCGGCAGGTTCTATGACGTTTGACCTGTATTGCTCCTGTTCTTGCTCTTGAAGCTGTATAATGCTTCCTTGCGCAGTTGTTGTCAGGGTGGTCCCTTGTTTCAATCCGCGACTGATGTTATCGGGTACGACTGATGAGGTAGGAATTGGAATCTCCACGTCCATTACATCTTCATTCAGCTCTGGATCTTGGATACCTTCAATATTTGTCCTCGTATTGGCATCGTCTTTCTCGGCCTGCGCTGCATTATGCTCGTCTTCATCAGACCCTTCCGCATCAATTTCTTCAGCATCATCATCCTCGTCGTCTTCCCCTTCTTCGGCAGATTGAAATTCCGGCTCTTCTTCGGTATCAGGACTCTTGTGCATTGTATAGTCCTCCTGTACAGGTTTTTTTCCTTTGTCCAATGCTTCAGACCCAGAAGTGGAAGCTTTTGCTCTCGGCTGAGAGGAGAGGATTTCTGCAATCTTCAATATCCTTCGTTGGCTACTAACCGCAATGTTATACAGCTCATTTAGCTCAACCTGCAGTTAGATGATGAAATTATCAATCCGTAAATGAGCCACATGCTCTCAACAATTTCATACAATACAGGCATATACAATAGTACATTTACGCAAAGGTTCTTAATTTAACATTTGAATTGCGGCCATAGGTTCTATAACTGTAACTTATATACTAAAAATTAAAATGGTCACTCGGGATCATTGAAACTTCATACATTTATAACATGATTGGCCAAGAGATCACTATATTTCTGTATTTCCATTCATGTGACTTAATTTTTAATAACTCTCTAGACAGGGATGTAATATTGGGATTGGTATCACATATTAACATGATACTATAACATGAATGAAGTTGATAGGCCTATCAATAACCAACGATTTGGGGCAGTGACCGTCCCTGCACGGTTAAGGGCCAAAATTTGCCCTCAAAATTTTGTGCGGCTGAGATAACACCATGTAACTCGATTTTTGCGCCAAGTGTGAGACCCACCACTATCTGTTGTGAAAATACATCCTGTGAAAAAAAAGTTACACGATGTACGAAGAAAGTTACGCGCAGTTCATAATGACTAAAATTGACAGGGACGGTTGCACCTGAGTCCGTGCCCCGAGTCCCAATAACCAATAACGTTGCTTACAATATGCAGTAATTACGTCTACTCAACCAAAATATTTTTCATTAAATCATGGAACAGACCCACTTACACCGATATCGGCGTGCCCGCTGTTCATCAACATTCCTACCAAATCAGGGGGTAGTTCAGTACTCTGCCCATCATATTCATTATCTTCCGGATCGTATTGTCCAATCTTTAACAACAAATTAAACCAACCATTTCAATAGAAAAGCCACGCAATACATAGACCACTACCTTTTATATGAAATGAGATCAATAATATATAACATTTTACCAGTTTTCCTTTTCCATAAGCTCCAAGATTTTTAATCTCAAGTGCATCCCTTTCAGAGATCAGAGCATCTGTCCATGCCTTAGCTCGCGGAGTAGTCCTCGACACTTTATGCTTCAGTATTTGTACCCGATCAAGATAATGAATCTGCAATACAATACAGTAATTAATTCAACTGTAGATAAACTTGACCACACTGTTAAAACATCATCGTAGACGCATTCATTTGAGCATAATCTAATCAATCCATCGCACTGAATTTGATAAAATGTGAAAATACAGACAGTAGTTATGAAGGCACGCAAAACTAATTGACTCTCTGGTGCACTGTGTAACAATTAGAGCATATTTTCGTCATGACTACAACTATCTAATCTTACCAGCAGAACGAAGATACAACCGCCAACGTATTGGTGCTGCTTTTCACTTTTCTTTTGCACCTCTAGCACCTTATTGCATAGTACGATCCTCACATACTCAGCCCAGTTCAATCTGGCTACCCTATCAACCAATTGCGTACAGTTCCAAACCTTTATTTTGTGCTCGGCTCTAGTGGTTGGAGCCAGTAGACATCCACAAGAAAATGCCACGAATAGTCTTACGAATTCTTCCCCTGCATTCATGGCTACCAACTCATTTGGGAGCTCATTCCATTTGTATGTCCTACGGCTTGGTCCAGTTCCCCCAACCTCGGTTGTATCGGTGTCTTCAACTGGAACGGGACCTTCGTTCGGGATCCCCAGGATTAAACTGATATCCTTTGACGTTAAAGGTAGCACACCATCTCCATGTACATTTAAACTGCTCAATGTCGGATTAAAGTTGTCAACAAGCCAGGTAGCTATGCCACTAGGAATCCAGTGACACTGTATGTCTAGCAGCCCTCCAAATCCTATGTCTCTAATCTGCTGCTTCTTAGTTTCATCGATTCGTGAAACTAAACTTGACATCTGCTTTGGTGAGCATCGGATAGTGTACTTCTGATTCTACACCATTTTTTAGATATATGCATTAGACTAATATAAGTGTCATTAAATGTTTGATGAATCATGCCGTGTATTTACCTTGATTTGAACTCGTGCTTTTCGCAATATCGGCTTTCCTAGACGTTCCATTTCTTTATCATACTCTTCTTTCTCTTTCAAATATTCCTCCTTTCGCTTCCTCATTTCTTCCTCACTCAACTTATTATATGCTGCCCGGGCAATGTCATTGTACTGCATTGAATAAATAAAATCAAAAAACACGTTAGACTAAACACAAAATAATTGCTCCTTTCACTATTTTTCCCTTAGGCACCCCATCAGTTCAATGATTCTTCAGTTTATTTTGCTAGGACAGCATACCTCGGTCAGCTTAACACCCTTCGCCGAAACCGTGTGTTGATACTCTTTCCTGTCCACATTCAAAACTCCAAAGTTATATGTGCTATTTAGTACCATTATTTTTCCCTCATATTCAATAATCTTACCTGAACTTCATCCATGGATTCAATGGTGGGACTGGTTCTGCGACCTCGCTTGTTCCCGCTGTAATCAGTTCTTCCTCCCCACCTAAACGATCATTCCTTTTACTGCTTCTTTTCCTTCCCATCCTGCCCCTGAACAGTCAACATTGTAATGCTGAATAATGATGCCAAGTCTAACCTGCCAAGACCTTACGCAAGCATTGGCCACTTACCTATTCGATGAAGTGGGTGCTGCACCGTGTTCTGTACCACCACTTGTTTCGGCGAGTTCTTCTCTGCCTGCTTCCTGAAGTGTGCTTCCTGCTCGCGTTCTTGCCATTGTAAACTAATGTTTTTAACAAACATATTGCACTTCAGTTCCAAAATTTTTTTTCCAGCCACAGTCATAACATATCATGAAGTACTGCTAAACATAATATATGAGCATCAAATATTAGTCACGCTAGTTATAGTACAACCTGTAACATTTTTTCTCACACTCAGTAACTCATTCTTCACAGTTTGTTATTTATTCCAACTGCCACTAATCTACATAATCTGTTGTTCTACCTATCAGATTGTACTTCATCCATCAATTTCTTCTTCTGTTTATTATGCTACTGTACAATACCAATGCAGTAGAATAAGGGGTCATCCAAATTTATAGTATCTTCATGAAATTCTATAGACCAGTTCTATTATTGTAACTTCTGATCTATTACGTGTAACAACTATCAAAGATGATGTCCAACCACAACAATTATTGTACAAGTAATCTTCCTTTTCACAATTTGTTTGTCTCAATACCAAATTTTCTGGTTAATTATCCCTCATTTAGTCATTTCATAATCTATTCCCCTGCCTATCAAGTTCAATTCAATCACATTCTCCTTTATTTATCACCCTCTTCAACAATATGAATGAAGCAACAAACCCGTTAAACAATTTTACGTCATTGTTCATCCAATTTTACAGTGCACTTCTCCTAGTGTCACTATTAAATGACTGCGTGTAATGACTATCCAACATGATGTGCACCTACAATAACTAGTAAGATTCTTAACCGTTATTCCACACTAACTATGCTAAACCTCATGATTTGTTATTCCGTCTGTCTCACATTGCCAACTTATAACCTACTCTCGTACTCATTCACTTCCAACCTAGAAACTTGTCTCTCTTTATGCAAGTAAACCAATAACCTGTAACATCAATGTAAAAGAAAATATGAGAAGCACAACTGAGTACAAAACATTAAAACTCTGTTATTTCTCTGTACCTGTTAAACCACAACATGTAACAATTTTCCAACACTGTGTTAATGCACACGCCCTAATACAATAAACTTACACCAATCAAGACACAAATACGACATCTCAATTTCAAAATAACATTTTCATTAGCAAGTATGAGACGCACAACTCAGTACAAAACATTTGAACTCTATTATTTCTATGTACCTATCCAACCACAACATGTAACAATTATCCAACACTGTGTTCCTGCACACGAACTAATACAATAACTTTCCCACCATTCAAGACCCAACTATGACATCTCAATTTCAAAATAACATTTTCATTAGCAAGTATGAGACGCACAACTCAGTACAAAACATTTGAACTCTATTATTTCTATGTACCTGTTCAACCACAACATGTAACAATTATCCAACACTGTGTTCGTGCACACGAACTAATACAATAAACTTACACCATTCAAGACCCAAAAACGCCATCCCAATTTCATGATAACATTTTTTCAATTATAATCTGCATCCATTTTTTCAATACTAACTATCGAACCCATGCACACATTTTCTCAAACAGTTGTGCCGCACGATTTCCCCCTTCTTTCCCACTCTCACTCTGTCATGCTCAAAAACTAACTCATAATACTCCTATCATGCTGCACTTACTCATTACTATACACAAAATTGTGCTCAAGTGATATCCCTCTAAGCGATCATCCTACTGTACGCCAACAACATCCACAAGTAAGGTCCTTCAACAAGCATGTCAAATCACACATGTTACTGCATCATCGTAGGCCTCAAAAAAATTTGAATACCTGACTGATTTTCGGTCGTTCACTACTCCCGCGCTTTACGATCTTCCGCTCTTCAACCTTGGGTTCACCTTTCTTCTTCTTATAATAAATCCGAATCACCAGAAATTTGTCCACCACTCCACCACTTCTTGCTTCTCCTTGCTATTTTTTCAGTATCCAATGTTGCACTTCCACAGCTTTTCGCAATGTCACGCCGGAGAGTGTTGCCAATCTCGTATTTTCCCCTCTTATTTCTCCCTTCGTGGCTTTTCGCATGCAACTGCTTCGTCTGGTTTGGGTGGGAGTCTAAGTGCGGCTTTTCATTTTCAACCTTTCGATTTGGGCGGGACTTTGCTTACTAGTGGTCATAACGTTCCGTTTCTTGCCGTTACGGTCAGCAGAGCATAACCATTTTTTTTACTGTCTCACTTAATAAAACGACGTCGTTTTGGGCCAAACTGAAGCCTTTTGACGTGGTTTATTTCTGGCCTTACCTTTGTTTCTGTGAGGGGACCGTTCAGGACCGCAAGGACCGCTCCTGCCCCGTATCCATAAAGGATACGGGGCAGGGACGGTCATCAGAATGACCGTCCCTGAACGGTCCCCTCACAAACACAACTTTGAGGACTAGAAATAACCACGTCAGAAAGGCTAAAAAATGATGGGTGCTTAAAAGAAAAAAATTGCACTAACCCAAACGGTAACAGACGGAGCAAACGGAAGAGTTGAAATTTTGAAAATTGAAAATTTGAAATAACCGCACAAAACAAAATCGACCGAAAAGGGTGCTCTTTGAGTCGCTAATAGCATAAGCAAACGACTGAACCAAGGAAGCAAACGACTGGAGAGTGGTTGCCCAACTGAACTGTTTTCTAATAGAGGAAGCAAAGAGAGAGGAAACTGAAGCAAACTTGGTTGAAAGTGAAGGTCGTGAAGCAAACTATTATGAAGCAATCTGAAGGTCGTGAAGCAAAGTATTATGAAGTAAACTGAAGCAAGCTATTAGATGCAAACAGGAAGCAAAGTGAAGGTAGAAGCAAACAGAGGAAATTCATCATCTGACAAACTTGGTTCAGTCATGCAACTTAATAGCAGAAGTAACTGTGCTCTCCGAATTCGGTGAAACATAAAGCGTATTAGCATACCAAGGTAACGTGACTGAACCATCGTCTTCAACTGTGGCCAATCATTTGTCACCCAATGCACATCGGTTTAGGGTTTAGGGATGAAATTAGATCCACTAAAAACATAATATTGGTTGTGAAGAATAGTGAATTTGCACCATATGTGTGTGCGTGTGAGCATTCAGCTTTTCAGTGATGAACTATAATAA